GTGGTGTTCGAGCTTTGTATAGGGCATGCCGATCATCCGCGATCAGTTTAATTTTCTCTATGTGTTCTGCAGCGCCTCTGCGTGTTAAGGGTTCTGCAAAACCTGCTGCTCTATATAGATTTGAAAGTGGCGTTGGTTTCATGCACCCCGTTACTATCCTGCATGTCTCATTTAGCGCAGTATCAACTTGTTTGGTGTGGGCAGATCTGCTCCAAACGGGGCACGCATATTCAGCAGTAGAGAAACACAGTGCCTGTGCCGTTGTTCTTAAAATGCCAGGACGTGCGCCCCATTTACTTCCCGTTAGCTTTCTGAGTATGCTGTTCCTAGTTGTTACTTTTCCTCTTGTTTTTATGCAATGTTGTCTGTAGGTGAGGGACCGGTCCAGAGTTAATCCAAGATATATAGGTTGGTTTGTGTGTTCTAATGCATTACCATTCTACACAATTTGGAGTTTTCGCTTGGCTTCCTTTGTGCGAAGGTGGAAAGCGCAGACTTAAGTTTTAGAGGGATTGGGACTCAGAGAATTTTGCAGGTAGTACGCTCTCATTGTTTTTAAGGCAGTTTCGAGTTTCTCCTCCACTTCTTCAAAACTATTTCCTTGAGCACATATTGCAAGATCGTCAGCATAGAGGAAGTGCTTGGTTTCGGTCGGAGTAGGTTGGTCGTTTGTGTATATATTGAAGAGCATTGGTGCTAAAACACTTCTCTGTGGGAGGCCGATTTTTTACACTCTCCACCTACTTACTTGACCCTCCAGCATAACGAAAAAACGTCTATTTTGCAGTACGGAATATACGAACTTTCCCAGATGGTGATCATTGAGAGTGTCGTATAATTTGCGGAGCAATGTTTTGTGCCTTACTGAGAGCGCCCACCAAAGTGGCGTGGCACGTAGCAAGTGGCAAGTAGCACGCGTCTAGCATGTTTCTTAAAATGTAACCAATGAAAACGAATGATTCAGCGTACACCAAAATGACAGTGACGTCATTCATTCTAATCATTCGTTTTCATTGGTTACATTTTAAGAAACATGCTAGACACGCCACTTTGGTGGGCGCTCGCCCTTACTGTGTCATAGGCTGCTGTCAGATCTACAAAAGCAGCCCCTGTTATAAGTTTTTCTTCAAAGCTCTCTTCAATGTGTTCTGTTAATGCGAGGACTTGACCGGTGCAAGATTTGCCAGGTCTGAATCCTCCATGTTGTGGGATGAGGTGCTTGTCGACATTTTTTTCTATTCTGGCGAGTATGAATCTCTCGTATAGTTTAAAAAAGTGACACAATAGCGAAATAGGTCTGTAGCTACTGGGGTCTTCTGGATCCTTTCCTGGTTTTAATAAGGCTATTACTTTATCCAGTTTTTTGCTCCTTGGCCTAAATGCTTTATTTGTTCACTGCATATATCATCAACACCAGAAGCTTTCCCGTTTTTTAACCTGTTCAGACCGTCGTGGAGTTCTTTTAGTGTAAAAGGTGTTGCTAGGTGGTCTGAACTAAAAACGCTGCTGGATTGCAATCCCTACTGACTCCCTCTATCAGCTACATCAAAGTTTTTATCGAATTATAATTCCTCGTATTCAAAAGTACCCAGTTGTAAATTTTTATACGTAAATGTTCACAAACATGGAAATTATAGCTAAAAATAAAATTTTAAATTTCCACTTTACCACCCTGTATCTTTCTTAATATCAACATTTTATTAAAACAATTTGGCTTAGATACTAATATTTTAAAGTGTACAATCTACTGTATCTTATTGTATATATAACTAAGGACCACCCTGTATAAATAATTTTTCCCGTACAATCAAATAGTGTACTTATTTTATCATATTCTTTTAATTCTTAACAAATTACCAAAAAAATAGCAAAAATTCAAATAAAAAAATATTTTTTTGCGTTTTTTCAATTTTTATGTGTTGTTTTAAACAGAAGCCCTTATGTTTTTTGATTTTTTTGAAAACTTTTTGGATATTTAAAAAAATATATAAGAAATTAACAACATATTGATGTATATTTGCACAAGTTTTGTAGACATTAAATGACTTAAAAAAATAAAAAATAAAAAACGACAAAATTTTGTTCATTTTTTCTCGGTAAGTTTGAGGTTATGTTAAAATAGACGATTAATAAAAGTGATAAAATTTTATATTATCTGCAAATTATGCGTTTAAAAATTTTTGATAGGATATCAAACTTTGCCGGATATTACAAAAACTTTTTTACCACGTTTTAACCCACCACCCCAAATCACCCCCAGAACTTTTCAGCTGTTTAATTTTTTTGTGTATTATATCCCCACATGCCAATTTCCATCATAAAACTTTAAATAACATTTTTTTATCTTTGTTTTTGCTAATTTGACTAATCACGTTAGATCTTTCGGAAAACAAAACACAATAAATTTCTTCCTGTGGAATAATATAAAAAACTCACCAGACACATTGTTAACTCACTGTTGAAATTTGTGGATTGTCCGTTAGTTTCCAAATTTAAACTTAATCTGACCTAAGGACAAAGATGTAAATTTGTCTTCTAAATAATGATCACCAATATCATGCTTATATGTCTCTATTGAAAACAATCTTGCAAATTGTTTATATTGCTTAATATTTAAAGTTATTCAACGACGTGTTAATTAACAAAGCCGTTTCTAACTTTTACTTTGAACAACTTTAAAACAAAAAAAAATAATGGGAAAACCCCGTAGTTGGCTGTTTACCATCGTTTAAAAAAACACAGAAGTTAAAACACTTCACACATGTGTATTGTGGTATAAAAAACAAATAGTTAAAACTTTATAAAAAGTGTAGTCAAAATTTAGGTTCTAGCATAACGTTTTTAACGGAATTATCTCAATATCTTCATTATGTTGATTCTTGTGATCAGCACCATAATAGTTTCCACTTAAAGGAATATGACGGCCATAAATAAGGAAAGCTGGAGTATATCCAGTCACTTTATGCTTTGCTGTGTTAATAGCTTGTCTGATCTTTGTTAAAGTCTTGTCCTAATCTACGTTATCTTTTTATGTACGTATTGCTGTACCAATGGTTCTATTGTTCTTTTCCACAAAATTACACTCAGGTGCATATACTTTGCTAAACCATACTTTCTAAACGTTATACCTATTCTTCTTCTTCTTCTTCTTGTGCCACTCTTAGCGGAGATTGGAAATCATCATGGCCACTGCGACTTTGTTAGCAGCGCGCCTAAAAAGTTCAATCAAACTACACCCGAACCATTCACGTATATTACGAAGCCACGATATTTTTCTTCTTCCCAAACTTCTTTTCCCCCTAATTTTGCCCTGCATAATGTTTCTTAAAAGTTCGTACTTTTCACCTCTCACAATGTGCCACAAGTATTCCATCTTTCTAGTTTTCATCTCGTTTAGAATTTCGCATCTTTTGTCTAAAGTTTAGAGTACTTGCGTGTTAGTGACGCGGTCCATCCATGATATTCTGAGAATGCGCCTATAGCACCACATCTCGAAAGCTTCGATGTTTTTTATGGTCAACTGTTTTAGTGTCCAAGCCTCAACTCCATATAACAGGGTAGAAAAGACATAACACCGCAGCATTCGTATTCGTAACTTTATATTGATATCACGATTGCAAAAGAGTTTGCGCATTCTATTAAAGACTGATCTAGCGATTTCTATTCTACATCAAATCTCGTTTTCTCGATCAGTATCGTCTGTGATCCAAGCACCTAGATATTTATAACAGGGCACACGCTCAATCGTTATATTGTCTATTACAAGATTAGCTCTGATGTTCTTTGATTTCGTGATTACCATAAATTTAGTTTTTTTCAAATTAATTTTCAAGCCGTAACTGTTACACTATATTCAGACTTTGAACGAGATGTTGTAGTTCTACTAGCGTTCCCGTTAGGAGAACTGTATCGTCAGCATACCTTATATTGTTGATCGTCTCACCATTTATTATCAGACCAAGATCTTCCTCGAGTGCTTGTTCATAGATAGCTTCACTATACAGATTAAATAAAAGTGGCGATAAGATACATCCCTGCCGGACTCCTCGACGGATTTGAATTTCTTCTGTTAGTCTGCCCTCAACCTTGACATTTGCTGTTTGATTCCAATATAGATTGTATATAATTCGAATATCTCGGCTGTCTATATTTTTCTTTATTAGAACTTGTCTTAGTAGTTCATGTTGTACTTTGTCAAAGGCCTTTTCGAAATCAATAAAGCAGGCGTAAATTTCTTGGTTTATGTCTAAGCATCTCTGTGAGAGAACGTTTATTGCAAACAGAGCCTCCCTTGTACCCAGCCCTTTTCTGAATCCCATCTGAGTGTTACTGATGTCTACGTCTAATTTCCTATACGTTATACCTATTATAGAGCTAAATTAAGAGAGGATTGAGGCATTATCACAAATCACATATTGAGGAGCACCAAACACTAGAAAAACATCATTTTCCAAAAACTCAACAATATTCTTAGCCGTGGCCTTTCTCAAAGGTTGGACTAACGTATATTCATGCCTATATTTGGGATTGGGTCTCCTAGTCTTCTTCTCTGTTCTGTCTATTACCTACTCCACTTCTGTCTTGCCTATTTTGATTATCCATCACATGAACTTGTTCTTTGGGCTTTTCTGAATAATCAATTGAAATACTGGCAAGACTCTTAGTAGTCTTAAACAAGGCAGGACATTCACGTTACAATACTCACATCAGAAAATTTGTGCCGGTGAAACAACCAATATCGCGATACGTCGCTGGGAATCGACTACTGGAATTATATGTATACAGATTTTGTTATGGACGATAGAATTATGGAGGCCACTTTATAATGCTTTTAGCACACTATGCCTTACAATCGTTAGAATATAAACAACTATAAAACATATTTATTCAATTATTAAATGCATTTTTAACATAATTTAGATAGCAAGCACCACTGTCTAATCGGAACAATTTTCTCTTTCGAAATTTTTTAGTTAATGCAAAATATAATCGTTGGTTAATTCAATGCCATCGTATTTAAATATGTATTGTATACTCATTGATACCGCTGTTTATTTGTATACTTATAATACTTCATTTTAATTATAGTCTTGGGTAGATTTGTTATACCTTCGTGATAAGTAAAAGGGGATATATTTCGTTTTTCACTAAATACTTATATTTTTTAATCATGTCTACATTAACGAGATTATTAGCCTTTTCGTTTTGCCTTGCACGCATTAACTCGCTCGATTTAGATGAACTTTACAGATTTGTGTCAAATAAGCTAGAAGAGATTGAAAATTATCAAGTACCTACAAATAATGAAGAACTATTCAGAGTCAATGATTCGAAAATATACGGTAAGTTTAATGTACAGTGGGTGATCAAATTATTATGATCACTTCAAAAAACTTTATATTTTGCTGTCTAATAAAGAATAAAACTGCATATAAGCGTCTAATGATGTGAATATAATATAAAAATAGGTCACAAGCACGTTCTTTTACAACATTTTAAAACATTTTTTTCTTTGCCCTTAAATAACAATTTTTTTAATATTTTGTGTGACCTCCTTTAGCATCGACGACAGCTTTGATCTTCCTTGGCATGCTTTGAATGTTTCTCAGACAGTCTTCTTTTATTTTATCGTTTCTGTGCCAAGTGGCAATGAGTCCCTCAATTAACTGCTGCTTATTTGTGACTGTTTCCTGGGCAATCTCCCTCTTCATAAGCTCCCATAGATTTTCAATCGGATTGAGGTCTGGGGAATTACCTGGCCACTTCAGTATATTAATTTTTTTTCCAGGTACGACGTTATTGTTTTTGTCTTATGGCACTGTGCTGAATCGTACATAAAGGTAAAATCCTCCGATTCACCAAACCAGTCTTTGATTTGTGGCATGAGTTTTCTTTCCAGAACTTCAATATATTAATGTTGATTCATCATTATATTTACAATGAACAACCTCTTTGTGCCATTACTGCAGATCACAGACCATATCATGATCTTGAGAGGATATTTTACTCGCTCCACTATCCAATCCTTGTGATATTTTTCACACACTCGCCTTCGGACGAAGGACGACTTATTCGTGAGTATCTCCACTGTAGACTCATCAGAGAAACAAACCTATGAATAAAAACACTCTATGATATTTTTTTTATAAAAAAAGTGGTTATAGGGATTCTTAACTTTAGTAGTGACGTAATTTACCTTATTCCAATCCTCAATTGTCCAATTTTGGTGTTCTTTGGCCCATTCCAGTCTCTTTTTCATCATTACGATGGTCAAATTTGGTTTTTTGGCAAGGCGACATGATTTGAAACCTTGCCCAGCAAGCCTTCTGCGAACTGCCATGTCAGAAACTGGCATCCCAGCTTCACGAATAAGTCCCATGAGGATTCTTCATGGTTTCTTTCGAATGTTTACGAAGATATCCCTTATGTTTCTTTCGTCTCTGAGTATAATGACACGTGAGTCAGGGGTTTGTTGGTATCAATTTTTTCTTGATATTGCTCATTGCTGCTTGCCCTACTTGGCATTGTTGAGCTATCTAAAGTTGGAAAACCTTTGTATTCAATAAAAGTGTCTCTATCTCCACCATCTTAGACATCGGGACGTCTTTAGCTTCATCCATTATGATTATTTTCTTTTCAAAAATCGAAATGTTCTGAAAATGTCTTTAAAATTAAAACTGATAGTTTTTTTTTCACTCACAATCACCACTAATACAGTAATATAACATACTACAAAGATAAAACGATACTAATCTTTCAAAAACAATACGAAGACATACAAATTCAGTTGTAAACTCCAAGCGCAAACTCACCACAATGTATATGTTGTCACGTAATTTGACACAAATGACAGTTCTAGAGCTGTAAACGTAAAAAAAGTAAGGTTATTGGTGACAAAATATATTGGCATACCTTAATCGTATAGCAGCACATGATTTTATTATAAAATATTTTAACAACTTTGAAAAACTTAAAGTTGTGTGACTGATCATAATAATTTGATCACCCACTGTATATATATCTTTGAAACTTTGTTCTTATAGTGGTTTTGCTGACAAAAAATATCTGCTTATTTAGGTGTCTTCTACATTACTGAATGTTGGCCAAGATTACAGTGAAATGAGCTTTAATTTGTTTTTATTTCATAAAATTATAAATATAGCTGGTAGAAATACTAAATATACAATTACAGACCCTGAACGGAGACTATATGGGTCAAACTAGAAAAATATATACTAATACAAACAATAATATAATTACTTTAACTTTTTCGTAAGGTGCTTATATGTGTGGCTTTTTCCCAAATTAGAGTTAAATACACAAAATTTGTTGCTCTTTTAAAAACGCCTATTGCAGGTAAGATTTTTGCATAAATGTTGTATTTGATACTTCCAAGTAAGTCTATGGTTAATGTACAGTCCTAAATATTTAATACAGTCCACTTTTTGTTAAGGTCGTGATCCATTAACTGTTGCCACTCTTCATTGCTTGGTATTACCATATAACTTAATGTATCTGTATAAAATTTACTTTTATATAAGACAGTTCATTCTGAACAGAATTCTCACTAAAACTATTTTGACATTTCTGAACAGCAATACAAAATAAAGGATCAAAATTTGATACAATATTTTTGATATCAATATAATTATTTGCAAGAAATATGGCACTATTCAACCACGTCCCCCATCTAGTCAACACTGGTTCCGGTGGCAAAGGCATATCGGGAAACATCTCCCTATATACTTCTACTCGCAATGGTGCTTTTAAAAATACTTTCTCCACATTGTTGATTAAAGTATTTACAGTTTGAAACTCAAATCTAACTTTGTCTGCCACCCTGTTTAAACCATGCGCTAAGCATGTACAATGAATCAAATTAAAAAAAATCTTAAGACTAATAACAGCTTTAACCATGTAGGAAGCGGTATCGCTAACTAGTAGCAAAAGTTTTTCAGAAATTACTTGATTTGGTAAAAAGAAATTTGTCAAAGATTCATTAACAAATTGAGCAATTGTTGCATAATTGGTTTTTTCTAAACATTTTACGCTGATTAAATACGTCTTGTTGGAGTCATTCGCTGAAGTGTTTAAAACTTCAATAATTAAATTCGCGGTTTGCCGACCCTTGGCGTCAGTAGTCTCGTCGACAGATATCCACAGATATTCATCTCTTACCCGGCTTTTAATACCTTTATTAACGTCATTGTAATATATTATACCCTCATATATTTCTTGCGAAGAGTTAAAAAACTTGGTATCTGTACTGACTTATTTTCAACTTTACAATATGTTTTCAAAAAATTTTGACACACCTTGCTATCCAATTTATACAGTGATATATTGCAACTTACAAAAAAAATGCAAAATGTTTTGCAAACTTTTGCTAAACAAAAAAAAAATTTCTTGCATCGTCGATGTATGACGATTTTAAATAATGTTGTTCTGCAGAAGCTGCTGGCAAACTGTTACATGTTTAGTATAGGTATACCGATTTTCTTGAAAAAATGAGATTTTAAATCAAATTTTTGAATCATTAAAATATAAGTGGACTCACCTTTTTATTACAAATAGTACAGAAAACACTTTCATTGTCTATAATCTTCATTTCACTGTTGCCACCAACCCAACTCCGCAATAGACTTGATTTTTGTTTCGCTACTTTCGGCATATTTTCAAAAAAGAAATTATTTTTATTTTATAAGCACAATATATACAATCACAATTTGCTTTGCCAGCTGGTAAAAAGAATTTAAAAACGAATTTACTGTATAATACCTACCTGCATGTTGGCCGAATTCTTCTGAAAAATAATTCCCAGATGAGTTTTCCCAAACAATAAAACTTGTAGATTTAGTAGAAATTTGTAATATAATTATTTCGTAGTTACCTTACCTAGTACCTGTTATGAATAATTCCAAGAAACCATTATCTAAATATGTATAGAAAACCGTTTTATTTATGTGATATTCTTAAATATGTGGCAATATGCTTTTAATCAAATAAATATAAACAGCATATGCAGTTATAAAGAAACCTACAAATATGCTGCACATATATGCACATGCATTTTGCATATAGTTCAGTCTCTAGTGATGAGGCATATGAACCTGATGAAAATCGCTCACCTAAACTTTATACTTATAAAGAATTAAATGATTTAGTTAGAGATTGAAATCTCCCAAAGGATGCCGCAGAAGCTCTTTGATCCAGATTAAAATCAAAAATCCCCTTGCGACAAGTATCATTTTTTTTGGTATCATCATTATGAACGAGAACTTGCACCTTACTTCTAAAAAAGAGATGGAATGGATGGAGTTCTAAAACACCTTTAATTTCTCAGTCGTTGATCATTTTTATGTAATTTGCAGCATTGTGTTATCATCAAAAAGTGTTTTAATGTGTGCCAACCAACGAATTACATGTTCCTCAATGTTTGATAAAAGAGAAGATGGGTTAATTTGCTTTTTTAGTATTAGATAACATATTTATTTGTACACTAAACTTTATAAACTTTTGTACCAAAACCTATTTTTAGATGCTGGATCATATGATTTCATAATTGTTGGTGCTGGAGCTGCAGGATCCGTTCTGGCAAACAGACTATCTGAAATTTCTTCATGGAAAATTTTGTTATTAGAAGCTGGTGGAAAAACTAACAATTTTAGTGACATTCCTTTATTTAGCGATTATTTAAGAAAGTCTGAGATGAACTGGGGATATTATACATCTCCACAAACAAGATCCTGTCAAGGTATTTGACAACTTTTTTTTGGTTTAAAGAATTTTTAAATGCATAATTTGTAACTATTTTTTAAGACCAAATAGACTTTCTATTTCTGTTTATACTATTATGCGCTTTTTGTCTTCAGAGAGAAGTTGTAAAACTAGTACCCAGTTTCGTTTAGTGCAAGAAAGACTCTTTTTAATTAGTCTGTTGGTACATTCCATATTCATTCCATAATCCATCATCCAATCAAGTAATTTTTTAATAAATTCCCATGTTTTGCATTTATAAATATCTTATTTTTTAAGTTTTCTTGGTACCTATATTACTAATTTACTTTCCCATTTGTATGACGGATGAATATTATCTTTTTTAAATATTTCGTAATATAATTACGTAGTTTGTATTTTTAAACTAAACTGATTATTGATAACAACTACTAAAATTAATGTAGATTTATATTTTCTTAATTATTATTCACCAATTTAACTTAATAACTCAATAAATTAAAGGGTATTTAGTATAGTGAATAAACAATTTCGGCTAGACTCTCTTTAAAACTGGATCGATTTACTTATAAGCTGTTATATATATTTTTTTGTTTTACTCAATACCCAATACTTTTCGAGGTTTTTGTGAAGTGAAAATGTCCAAAAAAAGACATGTTTTTAACAACTGTTTTTCACGAATAACTAAAAAACCTGATATTATATGCTAACAAAAATGTAACTACAGGTAAAAATATTGCAAGAAGGATATTGCCCATCGTAAGGATGGGTAGGGGGTGAAAGTGCTTTTGGAAAACAAAAACTACACTTCAAAATTTAGTCTGAGTTTCAACAGAGAGCATGGAGTCCCATAAGTTTAAATCCGGTGAATTATTTAACGGTTGCGCTAAACTCGTTGTGTTAAATGTGTTGTGTTTTTTACAAAATACGGAACAACTTAATGTAAGTGCTGCTGTAAGACGTACTTCGTTGATGACTGGTGTTAGCGAAAGAAGCATTTACAATTTCAAAAAAGAAAAAGAACAGAGTGGAACGTTGAAATCGCCAAAAAAACGTAAAAAACGAGTGTGTCAATCAAATTCTAGAATATTCACATATGACGAGGGTGTAAGAAGTATTCTACGGAGAATTGTTCATTGTGAATTTTTCATAAATAATTTGTCACCATTCTTAAAGCATATACATAACTTCATACAAGGTAATGAGAATATATAGCCGTTGTCTCTTTCTACTTTATACAGACTTCTAAAAGATATTGGATTTGTTTATAAGAAACGTGGCCGAAAAAGTATCATGGTGGAGCGAGAGAATATTATTCATTGGTGCCATAATTATTTGAGAACTATACGACGTTTGCGAAAAGACCATTGCAATATCATATATTTGGACGAATAGTAGGTTATTGTTGGCCAATCTATAAATTACGAATGGTGCGATACTACGATACAAAACAGTCGTGATGCTTTTCACAAAGGTTTAAGTACTGGCTTAAAATCACCTACTAAACGAGGTCCACGATATGTTTTATTGCATGCAGGTTTTTCAGGAGGTTTCCTTCCTGGCACACAGCGTGTTTTTCTGGCAAAGAAAAATGATGGCGACTATCACGATGAAATGGATGCCGCATATTTTGAGTCGTGGTTTAAGGAGACATTAATATCAGATTTACCAAATAATGTTATAAGACAATGCATCGTACCACTCCCGTAAAGAGAGATTTCCTAACAATTCCTGAAATAAAGCTGCAATCAAGGAATGGCTTGATTGCAGCCACTCGGCGCACTGATAATCGACGCGGTTCAACACTGAAGACTGTTAAGTTTAATATTCACTCTTTACATAGTATTAATCTTGGCTTTAAGTTTAATTGTACTAACAGCAGAAATCTTTCTGAACAACGTCATACCATCTGCATCTTCTAGTCAAAACTGACTTATGGACTCCTAAATAATACACTCGATTTATTTATAAAAGCGATTACAGAAAGGCCAGTTGGAAACCATTAAAACTATTTCATCTACAATGTCCAAGAATTAGGTAATCTCTCGTCAACAAACGAAGTTGACATAGATATCTCCAAAATTAAAAATCTTTTACAAAAAGCCTCAATTCTAGCTATTCCATTAACTATGAAATATAAAAAGAAACACCAACTCTGCCACAGAAAATGTCCGCTTAAATCCAAACTAAGAGAATATAAAAGACTCAGAGGCACTCTAATTAAAACAGAATATAACCGACTTTCGGTAACTATCAGACTGTAAGTTATCCTGTTAAAACAACAACAATGGAGGCAGGTGACGGCCAGTTTGGACTACCGAGATGGAGGAAAATTCTGGAACAAATTTAAAATCCTAATTAAACAGAAAAACCAACATCCTTGGTATCTTAAACACAATAAACACAAAATCAACTTCAGACGGCGATTCTTAATGGAAAACAAGCGAAACATTCTCCAACTACCTCGATATAGTGGCCTTAATAGACCTCGAAACCGTCAGAAGACTCAGATGCCTTAACAACTTCCAGAAGCCATATTCCCGCTGCTTGCAGAAACTATCAATGCATGCCTACAGCTGGAATACTTCCCTACGTCATGGAAAGCAACCAGCACAATCATGATCCCTAATCGATCAAGTTCTCAGAAGAAGATTATTAAATAATTTTTTTAAAACGGTATAAACAGCAAGATTGTTGACAAGATTATGTCATGTCACGAAATTGGAGGTAGACTCTCAAGGCTCTGGAATGTTTTATTTTTTATCTATGTCTTGTTATAATAATATGATATATGCTAACTATGTTGTTAGATAATATATTAAACTATTTAACCTAGGTATCGTCTATTTAATTATAATAGAAAAGTTAAAATATTGCTTTTTTTATTAGAGATATTAGAGACAGCTTGTTTATAAGTTATTTAGTATTAAATCAAGGGAAACAAAAGTTTGTATTAGAAATAAATGTCTCAATTTTTTTTTAATAAGTTTCACCTTGTCGTTTTTAACAATTACATGATACAAACAACTACTTAATTCAAGGTAGTGGATAAATAGCAATAGATAACTAATTTATGTTTCAATAATTTCCTTTAATGTTATTATTCCTTTATTTTTTTAATATTTAAATATAATTTTAAATATTTCAATTTCTCGTCTTTTATATGTTTCTAAAAGGGATATAAAAAGTTCATTGTACGAAAAAAGTTTATTCAATTTAATGCTTTCTGATTAACAATATTTTTAAAACGCAATTTATAATTATCCATGTGCGAAACATGAAAACTCTAAGTTAAGTACGCGAAATTCCCTATTAATCTTGCGATTTGTTTACCGTCATTGCAAGGGCCATAGGTAAGGAAAATTATAGATTATAGAGTATAAGCAGAATCAAGTCATCGTCTCCTTTGTATTTTCCCCTGATGATCGTTGCCTCAATGACATTATTCATTAGCTTAAAATAAAAAAGTTCCCTGTGGTTAGCTGTATACCATAGTTAGTAGACTGCCTTAGTCTGCTATGGGGTTTAACAGTGCGGCCTTTATCGGTTAGGTGAGAGCCCACTTCCCGTCAAGATTCTCAAGGAGATGCTCCCCTTTGTAAATATTGAGTAATCAATTCAATCATGGATCAAAAAGTGACTAAACAACACTCAGCCACGAAAAATGTACGTCTCAGATCAACAATCCAAGACTGGTTCGATGCTGTCTTTAGATTTACACTCTAATAGACTTTCAGAAGTGGTTGGTCTTCTGTCAACACCCTAGGTCTAGTGGAATTATTCCCAGATCAACATTCTATTCTCAACGTTGGCGATGACATCGTTTCAATGGTAAAAAAACCAAAAATACATTTTTGATGTGAAAGCTTTCGCTGAATATGATCCCAGTGTTAAAATTAGCCTTACTAATAAAGAACATTTATTAGTAATATGAATGGTCTCAAGGCGTGATATGCCCGTTACATAAAAAAAGGTGACCAGCTCCAGTGTGACAACTATAGAGGTATAACCCTGTAAACAACTGCTTACAAAATACTAGCAAATATTCTCTACCAAAGGCTGCAAGTTTACACAGTGGGCATAGTTGGTAAATATCAAGCTGGATTCACTCCAGAAAAATTAACAAGTGACCAGATTCAGTCAATAAGACAAATTCTCGAGAAAACATTAGAATTCAGAAAGAATTCTAATATAAAGAATAAAAACCCATCACCTATTCGTCGACGTCAAGGCCGCATACGACAGTGTTAAGAGAACAGTACTCTAACAATCAATGCATGAGTTTGGTAAACCAGAGAAACTTATCCGATTAACGAGAATGACAATGTCTCACTTATAAGCCACTGTTAGAATACAGGGAGAGAATTCAAGATACTTTGAGATAAAGGATGGACTCAGACAAGAGGATGCTCTGGCTTGCCTTCTATTTAACATTTAATTTGAATGAATTAAATAATGATAGTTTCGTGCTTATGAATAAAGTTCCATCATATTTCAACCCTTAAAAAGCGACCCTTGTTAGAGATTAATGTAAAAAAAAGTAGTGATGCGAAGAAAATGATTTCGCATTGGAACGATTTGGATAAAAATTTGGAATTAAGCTCAACTCACACTCTGCTTTATAGTTTATGTCATGCCGATGAACCCTGATTGTTCTTAGGGGCGAAAACTACCCCTAATTTTCAAAAATTGTAAAATAACATTACAAATCTTAAGATGAATAAAATTTGGTTTGGATTAGTTAAATAGTGATTTTTTTATACTTTAAAATAAAATTTCATACATTTTCAACCCTTAAAAATCAATTGTTATGAGTGCTATATATATATATATATATATATATATATATATATATATATATATGAGTTTTTATAAACTAATTTAATAGATATAAATTGAAAAAAGTAGAATTAAATACAAAAAAAAATTATCAACATAAAAAGGCACCATATATTCTTATACATTTACATAAATAGTTGAAAATATTTACATTTATATCAACACCAACAAAAGTTCATCGGGTGCAGGTTGTTTGTTCATGCGTACGGGTAATAACAAACCATCTTTGGAATACCATCCCCAATCTGTTGCTCTGATATTTTCATTGCCATGCCATAGACATATGAGTAGATGTTTTATTCTGTTGTATGGGATTTCAAAATAAGAACGCTTAAAATTTCGAATGTATAACGCCCCACTACCTAATATACCAGTTTTGTAGATTATTATGCTCCGAAATGTACTGTACTATACTAATGGAATTTTCCGGAAAAAAATTAATTGCTTTTTTTACCGTATTGCCTTCATTTTTAACGATAGAGTGTTTCTTCAAAAACGGTTTTGTAGAGGTTTTTAAGAGCTACAAGAATCTGTAAATTAAATCTTTAAATCTCTCCTTGGCTTTTCAATGGGGTGAGTTTAAAGGGCTCGAAAAAGATGGTGCTTGATCGTAAATCGATGTTTTAAAGGCTATATCTCGCCAAATATTCATTGTTCAACAAATCTAAATAAAGGAAAATTTTAGTCATTAAAAAAGCTACAATTTAGTACATTTTTATTTTTTTCATATATTCAATATTTTCGGGAATATTAAAAAAAAAGGGTAAAAAGTATGAAATTGTAAATCGTTTCTCGCTTTATGCTGTACTTTTTCTAAATCTAAACATTTTAAATGAGTCAAACTTCTTGGACGTATTACCAATACATGTACAAAGAGAATTGCAGAAGGTTGAAGATCGATTTTAATTATGGTGGTGGTTAGGGGGTTGTTTTCATCGATTTTTCGTAAAAGAATGAGGTATTGACCTTATTTTTATCATAACTTACTCAATTTTTGAGCTAAAGGATATTTTTATGATAGGTCTATTTATGCTTTTTAAAAAAACGTTTTGTGAGTTTTCTTCCAAATATGCATAATTTTTCCGATATTTGACTTTGAATCTTTCAAATTTGGCATTTGAAGAAAACCGCTGAAAATTGATAGTCCGTATGTCTGTTCCTGTTATATCGCAAAAACATTTTAAAAAATGAATTGTATTTGTCTTTTTAAAAGCTACAAACTTGTTCTATACAATTTTTTTGATAAAATGCACCATTTTCGAGTTATTCGCGAAAAATCAATTAAAAACGTCGATTTTTTCGTCTAAAAGTTGTTACTTTCAATCGCGAATAACTTTTTTGTATAGAACATTTTTTTTAGAATCACTTTTTTAATCGAAAACTGTAGTTTAAACGTAAAAAAAAATTTCACCCCCGAGATGGGGTGGCAACCACCCCTAAGGCTTTGGCGTACTTTGGTTCGATATAGATTTTGATCTTTGGCTATTACCTACCTACTGTTAAAATTTCAACTCAATCCACGCAAGACGAAAAAATTGCGAGGTGAAATGCTTCATTTCCTGGACTATAAGTGGTTTGACAGCATAATAAAATCGTAGATTTATGTGCAGCTTTCAATTTTTATGATTTCAGAATTCAGCAGCCCGCTGAAGTATTGGATTTTTATAATATAATTATTTGACAACCTTTTGTTGGTCAACCACCTACAGCAGAATTGAGCCTAAATACATAATATTTCGTACGTTCCGAATTTATTATTTCGTTCAATCTGTATAGTAGGGAATAAGCCTGTAATATTTAAGTCAAATCAAGAGGGGTTGCCTGACCCACTTTGCATAGTTGACGTGAAAGTACCCTATCACAACCTTATTTATTTTTTAATATTATTTATTTTATTATTACTGTTTTAAATATTTTTCTAGTGTTACAATATTTTTAATTTTCAGGCATGCGAAATAATCAGTGTGTTTACCCTCGTGGGAAAGTTATAGGGGGCACAACTACCATCAATGGAGCAGTTTATGCTAGAGGCGCTCATTCTGATTACGAAAACTGGGAAGCAATGGGTATTCGAGGATGGTCATTTAAACATGTCCTTCCTTATTTCAAAAAATCGGAAAATTGTTCCCTTAAATCATATGATAAATATTACCATGGAACGACTGGACCCCTATCTGTTAATCAAACGAGTCCTCCTTCGATTATAGCAAATGCATTTGTCAATGCTAATCGAGAAAAAGGTTTGACTTTGGTTGATTATAATGGAAAGCAGCAGATAGGCGTGTCTAAAATACAATTTAATATTAAACATAACAAACATCATAATGCTGAACACGCCTTTTTAGACTACGTTAAATCCAGAACAAATTTAAAAATAATGCTACATGCAGCAGTTAATAAAATATTACTTAAAAGTCATAAAGCAACTGGAGTAACTTTCATTAAAAATGGAGCGATCTATACTGCTAAGGCCAGAAAAGAAGTTATTTTATCTGCTGGAGCAATAAATAGTCCACAACTCCTACTTTTATCTGGTGTAGGTCCAAGAGAGGAATTAAAAAAATTAGATATTCCAATAGTTGCTCATTTACCTGCTGTTGGAAAAAATCTACAAGATCATCCCCTTTTCTTTAATCTATATTTTAGAACAAATCTTACTGCGCTAAATCGATCATTAGAAGAAAACTTGAAACTTTATCTGAAAGATGAAACTCCTTTTACTAATGGCGCTGGATTGGAGCACCTTGCCTTTATTAACACCAATACTACAACTACAGGAGTAGCTGACATAGAATATCTAACTTTTGCTCCACCCTTTAGTGTTCCATCCAATCCTGTTGATGCATTAAACTTAAAGGATAACTATGCAAATGCTTATAAAACTTATAATACACTAACTGATATTGCAGTTATTATGTCATTAATGAAACCAAAATCAAGAGGTCAGGTAACATTACAAAGCAACAATATTGCTGACTTCCCTATTATCGATTTAAACTTTTTTTCCGATCCTAACGGAGAAGATATTGAAACTATGTATAAAGGTATCCAATATATTTTAAGCCTAACAAAAACAGAAGCTTTTAAAAGCATCAATGCTACTTTTATAAGCGAACAACCAAGCTGCGATCAATTTAAGGGACAAGAAAGAGAATATTGGTACTGTGCTTTGAAATATATGACTGCAACGGAATACCATCCTTCATGCACTACAAGAATGGGAATTTCTAGAAGAAATTCTGTCGTAAATAAGGACTGCGTTGTTCATACCTTTACAAATCTAAGGGTGGTAGATGCAGGTGTTATGCCAGAGATAACAAGAGGTCATCTTATGGCTGCTGTTTATATGATCGCAGAGAAAATATCGGATGAAATTAAACGTAAATATGGCAAACATCATTAGTTTTTAATTAATAGTTTATTGTATTTGTAAATAAAAACAATTTTAATTCTACAGTATGTTCAAATGAACATTTGACCCCCCCCCCAGAAACTATAACCCCTTACTGCTCCGCATTAACGCCCAATTTTTTTAAATAGCAAGTGTGGTCAAGTGACACATCATTTGAAAGTTAATTTTTTTCTCTCTATTTTTTTTTAATTTACGTAATAACTTTGAAGATAATGTTTAACCAAATGTTCAATATTTCTAGTGACCCCCAACACAATAATTCAATCAACCTGCAAATCGATATCAACATGTCACTGTTTGAAGATATTTTTTTTTCTTTTTGCAAAGTCTTCTTTAGTGTTTATCAGGTTACCTCTGTTTTGACAAATGTCAGTGATATTAATTAGATTAGTTAAATTAAATTAATTAAATCGGCATATGATAGTGTCCTAAGAAATAAATTGTATAAGGCCATGAATGAATTCCACATCCCCAATAAACTGATAAGATTGGTTAAGGCTACAATGCGTTATTTGAAAGTCGAAATACAGAGCGAACAATCACAGGCATTTGAAACGCATGTTGGGCTGGGATAGGGGGATGCAGTGGCATGTCTCCTTTTCAACATGGCGCTGGAAAAGACGGTCAGGGATGCCCAAATAGACAACAAAAGAAGTATTTTTAATAAATTATCCCAAATTTTGGCATACGCAAATGATGTTGAACTAGTTGCCCGCTCAACACGCAAGCTAGAAGAAATGTATACCACATTGTCAAATGCCTCAAAAAATATGAGCCTGCAAGTACATGAGAAAAAAACTAAGATAATGGCATCAACACAAAACAATAGAGCCAAAAACATCGGTCAACAATTCACGCTTGATAACTCTACCTTTGAAGTGGTGGACAAATTCACATACTTAGGCTATCTGGTCACCAAGGACAACGTCATGATGAAAGAAATCAAACGAAGAATAATCCTAGCAAACAAATGCTATTTTAGATTGAGTAGACATATGAGAAGCAGAAACTTAGCCCAAAAAACAAAAATAATCATATACAAAACCCTTATACAACCAGTGTTAAGGATCCTGAGAAGAATATTCCATGGCATCTGTGAAAATAATGTTTGGAGAAGGAGGTACAACTACGAGATATATGACAGATATAAACATATATTTGGTGGTAAAGACGTAGTATCTCTTATAAAAATAAGAAGACTAGAATGGGCTAAACATCTTACAAGGTCACAGCAGAAAAACCCTCCTAGAAGAATCCTTATGTCACAACCTGTAGTAAGTAGAAGTAGGGGTAAAACAAAACTAGACGAAGAGATTGTGTAGATGCAGATGGTAGAGTAGAGTAGTAGAGTAGAGTAGAGTAGAGTAGAGTAGAGTAGAGTAGAGTAGAGTATTTATTTAACTACATAACATATACAAATATTGTTTGTAGCAAGTCAAAAAATACATACATAGTATTAAAAAATAAAACATTAAATAATACAAACATGAAAACATATTAAACAGAGAAATATTTATGGCAAAGTTACGGTAAGCAGTTCAGTGGGTGTTCTGCAATGAGTCATATATTCTTCTGAGCAGTAAAAACAATGTTTTAAAAGATATTTTTTTGTATAACTTTATCGAAACTATTACAGCTTAGCTCTTTTATACTTTTGGTAAAATATTGTAATAGTTATAATTAAGACTATTTTTTTTCTGAAAGACTTAATCTACAGCGATTTGTTCGTAGGTAGTGACAGTTTCGCGTATTGTGAACATGGACATCAGACTGCTTTATTAAATGGGCACGTTTTCTGTGAATTTGAGTTAAAACTTGAAATATCAACAGAGTAGGTAGCGGCATAATTTTAAATTTGATAAAGAAAGGTCGGCAGTGTTCTAGATAACTAACCCCTGCTAAAATCCTGACAGCTTTCTTTTGTATTCTAAAAATTTGAAGTGCATTTGTTGAATTGCCCCATATAATTAAACCATAGTTTAGGTAAGAGTGGAATAAAGAAAAATATGTCATTTTTAATGTTTTAAAGTTGACAACCCTTGCTAGTTGGCGATTAACAAATAATGAACTTGATAGCTGTTTCTTAAGGTGTGAGATATGAGCAGACCAGTTGACTCAATTATCTATGGTTATTCTCAATAGTTTAACAGTCTCTTTGTTAATTAGATCATTGTGTAAATTACTTGCAGATATAACCATATTTTGCGTTTTATCAGAGTTAAGTTTTAGTTTGTTTGCAGCAAACCATGAGCTAGATTTAGTAGAAACTTCCTCATGAGACATTTTTAAATCATCATTATTTTTTCCTGATATAACGTATGTCGTATCATCTACGAATTGTATGGTTTTGTACGGAGATATCAATTTAGGCAGATCGTTGACATAAATAATAAACAAAAGAGGTCCTAAGACCGAACCTTGTGGGACTCCATGTTTTACGGATAGAAAATCAGAGAGATGACCTTTAGACACTACCGCCTGGTGTCTGCCACATAGATAAGAAGTTATAAGCTTAAGAGGGATACCTCTGATTCCATAGTAATTTAATTTGTGGAGCAAAATGTCGTGTGAAACGCAGTCAAAAGCCTTTGATACGTCACAAAGAGAAATTGCTATGCGATTGCCGCGTTCAAGCCCCTCAATCGCCTCGCTCGCAACATTAAATACCACGTTCGTAGTAGAACGAGCACTCCTAAATCCATATTGTGAGTTGCTAAAGTAATTATTTGACTCAAAATAGGAATAAAATTGTTGTTTGATAACCTTTTCAATCACTTTCCCAAAAGTAGAAACAATGCTTAAGGGTTTGTAATTGTTAGTTTTTAAAGAATCACCTTTTTTGTAGATTGGTAGTACTTTTGAGTATTTTAGTACTTCTGGAAATACTCCAGTGGATAGAATTAAATTAATAAGATGAGTAAAAGGTGTTAAAACTATTTGGTAAGTTTCTTTAAAAATTTTGCTATTAATCTCGTGAACGTCTCTACAATTTGAGTTACTAAGCGACTTTATCATTTGAGAGACCTCTTCTTCCAGAACGGGCCGAAAAAAATGACTTGCTCGGAGAAGGATAATTTCTACAATTGACGAGGACATCGACGTTAATAGTGGGAAGAGATGTAATTATATTCTCTGCAATTGTACTAAAAAATTGATTCATTTCGTCTGGAGGTAGATCAGGTTGTACCGAATTGGATTTAGTGTAGTTTCTTTCGAAATTTACTATTTTTCCAGCAGTCTCTAGGTTTATTATTGGAATTAGTAATAATTCCAATGGTAGAATGGTAAAAAAATAGGCGCAATAAACTGGCAACAGTTGGCAATGGATAGAACTGACTAGTGTAATAGACTTGGGAAGATAGGCTCTTTTTGACAAATGTCAGCGACTGATTAATCAGAGATATTATTGTAAAGGCTAACAAAAATAGCGAGCAAAAAAGCAAGGACCTTTAATATGAACCACCCAGAAAAAAGCGAAAGTCACAAATACGGTAAACATTGAACTGATAAGTTTAAAGCTACAGTAACGTTAACAACACAAAGCACAAAGCAGATCGTCAAGTCCGAACTAAAGCAGTTGAAGTTGTGGTTTTGGGTCATATACAACTGTATAATTGACAGTCTATCAGACAACTATCTTGTGCATCTAGCGTATCAGCATCTAGTGTTTATAGAGTTACAAAAGCTCATAAATTTCAACCTTAGAAAATACAATTACTTCATAAATTCAACGAAGATCATCCTGATTGTCGGCTTTTTGTAAAGAATTCAGTGAAATCATAAATAACAACCAATATCGATTGTACAATGCGTGTTTTTTCGACGAGTGTACTTTTGTGTTAAATGATAAAGTTAAAAGACATAATTGTCGTTATTGGAGTAACAGTAGTCCTCATTTATTCATGGAGACATACACCAGTACATACATACCAGTTTTTCTTGAAGGAAATCTCAAGGGAACAACCTATTTAAATTTGTTATAAGACGTTATTGATCCGCTGATCGCTGACAGATTAAAATCTGATAATAATCTTTTAGAGGATGAACTGACATTCCAACAGAACTGGGAATGCCCACATTATGATATAAGCGTAAGACAATTATTGAATCAACGTTTTCCAGGGCATTAGATTGGTAAAAGGAGTTCAATAGAGTGGCCAGCCAGATCACCGGATCTTTCGGCTTTGGATTTTTTTTGTGGGGATACCTAAAATCAAAAATATACGGCACTCTGCCTGCAGATCTTGCAGAGTTACGACGAAGAATTGTGACACAATGAGACCGGAGGCATTTAAAAATGTACGTAGGGGCTTTCAAAATAAACTATATTATTGTATAGAGATCACAAGAGGTTATTTCGAACATTGGATTAGTTAGTTCCATGAACTTTTATTATGTTTTTTGTTATTACTGATCTTCAACTAAAAAATTCAAAGTTATTTCATAAATTTAAAAAAGATACAGTAACGTATAGAGAAAAAAATACCCTTTAAATGATTTTTGCCATTCGACGACACTTGGATATTTTTACACGTAAAATTATATGATAATATAAACTTTCATCCTTCTCTCCATCAATCTCTCCATTATACTTGTCGTATGTATAAAGTATTGAAATAATATAGTCAATCCCATGTAAAAGCAACATACATACAATAAATTTTCTAGTAGTATCTGACCTACATCGAGACACTCAATGATATAGGAGATATATTTTATGACAGCATAAAAGAAACACATAAAAAATCAAATCAGCTTTTATGACAGGTAAAATGCCCAGACGAAATAACTGAATACGTTATGGAATTTATTGAATTATTGATAAGAAAGCATACATTAAGGATGATAGTGTTTTTGAAATATTCAGTTATTTGGTTTAATTGCTTTATCAATAGATAACAATTATTTGTTTACGTAAGTTTTTAATTGAGTTTTATGTTGATGGAAAAGAGACGCACATTTCTAAGCGAAGGAAGGCGAAATACCAATGGGTTCAAAGAATTGAATAATCAAATAAAGAAGGGAGTAAAGGAAGAT